AAGGTAGTATGGGGAAAAAACACGGGGAAAAAAAAAGAGAATAGAAAGAAAAAAAAAAAAAAAAAAAAAAAAAAAAAAAAAAAAATAAAAAAGAGAAGGAGGGGCATGTGATGCATCGCTGAAATTAGGTCAGCTCCATTTTCAGAGCCTCATTTTAACGACATAAAGCGTTTATCCTTATCGGATGTTGAGATGGAGAAAAACAAAAAAAAAAATTATATATATATATAAAAAAGTGCTTCAGTAGAAGAAGAAATAAATAGGCTCACATTTGCAACAGCTTTGGACTGAGTCACAGTTCTATCAGCCGGGATAACGTCAGCACAAAGTCAAGGACAAAATAGTCGCTTTGGTTGAGAAAGCTCAAGTGCTGTTCTTCCAGCAATAATCAACCAGATTTACTTAAAAATATTTGGCCCATAACTTGTGCATGTGTGTAAATGTATTCACGTTTAAAAAAATGAGTGTGTGTGCGTGCGTGCACTCGCCTCGTGAGTTTGGTGCCGATCTGCTGCCTGGACTCCAGTCGCTCCTCATCGGTCTGCACGGGCAGGATGTTTTTCTCCTCCAGCTCCCTTTTGGATGGACGGTTACTCAGCTTGATGGCCAGAGAGTCTTTCCTCAGCACCTTCTGAGCCAGGGTACCTGAACCAAACACAGCGGTCCCACATGAGAGGCGCTGCAGGCTCCAAGCATCGATCTGGGGCCACGTTTAACAAAACGTTCTTTGGCTTTTTTTAGTCACTCATCCGTAACTCTCAATTGTTTTTTGTCTGATGCTGAATTTTAAGTAGTTGCAAAATTATTGAAAAAGGTCCAAACATGGAATACTGCTCTATCCGACTATGATCTAAAACCTATAGTGACTTTTATTTGATGGTTTGCACATTACATGGAATGTTTGCCTAAACATTTGGAGTGTCCTGTACCTTTAAGGGCTAACTCATACTTCCACCTTAAAGTCACACATGTGGCACATTGAACGGTTCCATTGCACATGGCCGATCACAACCTTTACAAAAACTCCAACATGCTCCCGTGTGAAAACAAACAGCTTTGCACGGGTCAGCAGTTTCGCCGAGAGGAGGCGAGTGTTTTGCACCAAAGTTTGGCCCTGCTTTGAAGATCAAACTACATCTGAGATCCAGGAGCAGTCAGGTGTTGATCCGGGTTAGTAGCACAGGGTAAACATGAGACATCCATACCAACAAAACAGACAAGGTTTTTATGGGGGGCGTTCTGTTTGTCACTTTTCCACAACCAGCCTTTTACCTTTTACATCTTCCTTTGTGCATTTTAACACAAAGACTCCTCAAGGTCCCCGCGACTGCTGCCACTCACTTGTAAATATGGCGTCGTCGTCTTCGTCATCGTCGTCCTCGTCGTCATCCACGTCGTCGTCCTCGTCCTTGTACATGCTGGGCAGATCCTCGTAGTCGCACTCGTTGGGCATGTTCTCCTTGTCGTCCTCGTAGTCGATGATCACGGACGGCACTTCTCTCCTGTCCAGGGGAAGACACTGACCAATGCCGTGCAACGCCGAGCTGGAGGACAGAAAGGGACGGAAATAAATCCAAATCTTTTCAAACAGTCAGGAAAATAGTGTTTATGACGTGTAGTATCACTGAAACCATAACCCCCTTAAACCTTCTCAATCCAGAAAAGAAAGCGATTTAAAACAATAAAGGGGCTTCTGGTACAATGATAGCTTAGTGGGTTTTTAATCCAAGTACAAGAGGGAGAGCAGATACAGAACTCCAGCTGAATGAGACTGGAGCACAAAGAGCCTGAATGCAGACTGTCTGATTCTGTGCAGTCCTACGCAATCCTCTGCACAAGAGGAAAAGAGCAACTGAACTTGTACAATTCAGAAACAAAGAGGCGACAGAAATAAACTCTCAGGATCAATCGTTGCGAGTGCCAACCTCCCGCCTATTTGATTTATCGATTAACCGCAGTCTAGTCGGCGCTCTTCGCGATGAACCCGCTGTTACGCAACCCTTTTGGGAGCTTTTGGTCCAATTGTGAGCAACGGCCATTACTTCCTTATCCCCTGCCCAAATGGCTTTGGTGATGATGAGATCCTAATGTCTGAGGTTACATAACATCCAATCCGCTACCATGTCCCTTTATTTATTTATTTTACTCCAAGCAGCGAAGAAACGCTCCTCTTGTAAAGAGCAGCTGGTCGTGTTATGTCAGGCCAACTGCTGGAGGGACGCCTCCTCCATGAGCCGGCGCCCACACACACACACACACACATTTACTTCCAAACTGGGCCACGCTGCCCTGTGAGGCAGCGGGCCGATTTAGACCCGTATGCCGAAGCTACATGGCAGGACGCGACCTCAATAACACCGGGATGGATTTGAGAGTAGCAGACGAAAACACAACCTGGTAAACAGGTCTATGCTAATTATAAGGCTTTTCTCCCCCCAGTATTTACTCTGATGAGTGCTGTGATTGGTACAGCTTTTACTAACAAGAGATGCATCGACCACAGACTCCACACACGACAATTCTTCATAGAAAATGAAACATCACCGGCAACCCTTTGAGGCCAATCAGTATTAAGCGATAACCTCCAATCGGGGAAATATTTTAAATTACACAAAGTTTTGTTAAAATCCAAACAAGATATCACGTGTGATGCACAGACAGATAGACAAATAGAGGCCGATCCATAACCCCCACCCCCCCCTGCCTTCACTGGGAGGACAATCAGATTGAACGACCCGAGCGCTGATGGCCACTAACCTTTCAAACCTCTGCATGGAGAGCGCCAGGGTTTTATTGAGCTCCTCGATGATGCGGCTCGGCATGTGCAAGCTGCCGTACTGGAGCTGGAGCGGGTGGCCGTGGCTCTGGTGGAGGCCGGAGAGCGCGGCGAGCTGGGAGGGCAGCAGGGTGCCATGGTGGAGGGACATGCCCTGGGGAGGGCCGCACTTTTGGGAGAGAGCGCAGAGGGGGTTGGGGGACGGAGACGGGGAGCCAGAGGAGTCCATTCCCCCTGTAGGCACACAAATCATCACTTTTTTGGGAGGAAGGGGCGGAGAGTGCTTTCCCCCGGGCATACAGGGCAACTTCATTGGCTTGCAAGAATCTAGAAAGAAAACAAAAAAGCTAAATCAAGATTATTTATTTTATACTTGGTTAAATGGCGGCCACTACACTTTGATGGCTCGTGGACACGGCTCAGATGTCAGCGCAGAGCGGTGGGAATTAGGCCAGGGTAATGCCACTTCCCTCTGACGGACAACGACAGAGAGAGCCCTGCTGACATAACCACGGGGGGCTTTAATGAGACTACTACAATCCTGTGCACATGTGTGGCAACGCAGGTAGTTGTTTAAAAGAGACAGCTGTCGTGGCTCATTTGTCAAAAAGAAGAACTCCAGGAAGTAATAAGCAGGCTACAACTATTTCTGTATTCTGTTAAAAAAACAAACAAAAAAAAACAAACAAAAAGGGACACCGAGCATCAACTGACCTGTGCTGTGGTTCGGGATCCTAGAGAAAGGCTTGGGAGGGAGAGCGGGAGGCTGTTTGTGGTACTTGACGGGGTTATCCTGAAGGTCTCCAGAGTAGGTGACAGATTTCTTGGTGGGCAGGACCATAGACGACTTCATAGAGGACTCCTTAGTGCACACTCTGCCGTCCATCGAGGAGCCGAACTCAACGGTGGCTAAACGTAAATAGAAAGAAGCGTCAGTCTGACAAGCACCGAAAATCGTGATTTGCCTGCACAAGAAAGACACTTGACGGGAAAGACTGTTCCAACAAAGTTTAAAATGAAGTGCTCAGTTTTGAGACAATGGGAAGTGGATTCAGAACAGCTCAGGCTGTTTAACGACCCGAGAGCCCTTTATCAGCACAAAGCAGACCAGGGAGCGCTGTCAGCCAAGCAGTTTGACAGAACTTTTGCTTTTTTTTTTTAATTCTTTCACAGCGCGAAGCCGTTTGATGTGTTTTTTTTTTTAAGGCTGACAGTGCAATTCACAACGCTGCTCACATATTCTGACAAACAATGCATTCATGTTGGGAGCTCACCCCAAGTCCCAAATTTCATCTCGACAGCCTTTTGAAGAGAAAACCACAAGAATAATTATAACCCCCCCCCCCCCCCCCCCCCCCCCCCCCCGATATTTTTTAAAGAAAGGTAAGTCTCATGCCTTTTGAACATTCAGAAAGTCTTGGAGTTTTTGCTCATATTCATGTCAGTCGTTGCTGTAACCAGCTGTCCTTCAAAGGTCCTCCTTGAAGCGTCCTCATGAGGGAAGATCTGATTGGATCTTTAAATTCAGCCACTGAGATGGCGGACTCTACCATTTAACTCTCAACTAGACCAGGGATGGGGTTTGGCTGGCGTGTGCCACATTAAATCCAGGAAGTCTAAAAACGGCAAACAGTTAAAACCGATTTACAATCCAGCAGCCAATCAGATGAAAGGTTAGCACATTTTTGCTAACATGGGATTTCTTTTATTTCTATTATAGTTACATTTCTGCCCCTACGGATCTATTTCTATCTGGATCAGAGTCGATTTGAACTACAAAGCGAGTTGTGTGGTTTATCTACACATCAGGGGAACGAATGTCAGTGCTGATGAAACAATGCAGCTTCAATAGATCTAGTGGCACTTTGCTTTGCATGCATACAAATAACCACTGCTGATCCATCAAGCTGTGCACACAAGCTTTTGGTTTTTTTTTTTTTATTATGGAAACTAGGTTGTCGCTGGGCAGGGACACCTGGCCTAATTAATATGCACTGCATTCTAAGGAGTGGCGTGGGGGGGGGGGGGGGGGGGATTTAAGTAGAAGCGGCTAGCATTCTACAAGTAAAATATTCCATTTACAACTGTACTTGATTTGGGCATGTTCGAAGGCATTTGTTTTAGCTTTCTTCTTGTTTTTGAACATTGTCCAAAAAGCTCAATTTGTAAAACAATAAAATATGGAAACCCCTCATTTGCCACGTTCACATCTTGGCAAGAGGCAACAGACTTTTCTGAGCTTCACTAACTTTATTTGCGATGTCCCAAGGCATGCGGCGCTCTGCTGTCAAGACTCAAATACGCTCTCTAGCTTTGAATACGGGGTGTGTCGGGCACATCAAATCAAGATCAAAGAGTGCATAAAACCCCACAACATTTCTATAATGAAAGATTATATCACCAGACGCCCGTGCCAAAATCTTGAAGAGCGCACTTCAGACACTCCTGATTAACGGGGAGACGGACAACTTCCAATTCAGCGCACCGCTCCTATACCGTTACTGTAGGTTCTACTTAAAAACAGGCAGTTTCCAGCTCTGGTGAAATCAGACTGGAGGAACTGGAGAACATGCAGCTCACCTTTTTCAAAGATCTCTTTCAGCACTCCTCTCTTGATCAACTCATCTCTGCTCTGTCGCATTGACATCTTCCTTTCCAGAGCTGAGGGGGCAACGGAGAAATAATGTTAAAGTCATTTTCACATCGGCAAAACCTTTGAATAACGCAAAAGAAAAAACATAAAGAGATCTCCAGATCAAGAGCCATGGCTTTAAGTCGATTTGTACTCGTGGTACTGGCAATACCTGGAAGTCTACGAGGGATTTTCAAGATGGCCGTGCATGGCCATTCAAATCGCCTTCTCTTTTAAAAGACTTTTTTTCTTTTTAGAGAATGTTTTTGTTGAAAACATGATAGGGCAGGCATGATTCTATATTCTTATTATTGTCAACAAGTCCCATGAATAGACCAAAGCTAACCATCCATTAGCCTTCCCTACTCTGTCTGTGGCACTCAGCCCCAAACCCCATTTGTTCCAACTAAAGACGTAACCCTTTTAAAAACAGGAAATACATCTTCGTATTTTTAAAAATGGCCTGAAACCCTCTTAAAAACAGCTGGGCACTGTAGTTTTAAAGAAAAAGATTACTCGGCAGATTTACTGGGGACCATTTTGAGCTGCGGATTAGTACACATTTAGTGAGTATTTATAGCAGCAGGGGGCGGCGTACGTGGACTTGACACAAAATAAACTACAGAGCCCATAATCATTGTGACGAAGGGACAACAATCCCAGTGCAACAATGTGGCTCGTTGAGTTGTTAATGGCTTTTGGACAACAATGGAGGTCGATGCATCAGGCTTTACCTGCACAGGTGATACTTGTAGGATCAATTCATTGTTGGGTTTTGTCTTTTAATGGGATTAGACAATAAGAGAAATGGAGGCTATCAACAAACGTATCCTACGAGTAAATGCTTTTCTTTTTTACTTGAACACGACTGTAGCACCAGTACATTATTGGTCTTGCTGTACATGCGTGTCTAATGGTAGATCTTTCGATCAAATAAAAGAATTCCAAGCAACTTCAGTCGAGAGAACAGCAGCATTAGTAACATCCTGCATTTTGTTGTGAAGATAATCTGTGAAACGTCTCTTCTGATCACCTAAAGCTGAACATAAACGGGACCTCGATTAACAAAAGAGATAAAAGGGTGGAGAAGCTATTCCAACAACACCTCCCATCGTAATGCATTATGCACAAGATAACACGTCCCATAGCTACTGCTTCTATTCTTGGCCTTCAAAAAGTCGAGGCACTTAACATCTTGTAGCAGTAGGCGGAACAAAGGCAGCCAAAAAAAAAATAAAAATCATGTTGGTAATTTCCAAATTCTACCCCTGCATAGAAACAAATTAAGAATGTGAAATGAGGATCAGCAACAGCACTTGAGCACGCTGCGCAGGAATCTCCCTGCAGGCGTCTGTAGCTGCTGCTTAAGAGGGAGACACAGATCGGGCCATGTGTGCTTTACAGATGACCCAGGAGTCTCCATTAGAGCGCGCTGTGTTCAATGCCAACACATCCTCACTGTGGATTCATGAAAATACTGACAGCTTGACCTCTCTTCTCCTTGCCCTTAGTCACAGCACAGTGGATTTAAAACCAACTGCTGAGAGTCCAAAATAATTAAAAAACACAAATGAGTCGTGCAAATGTCAGACGGGCAAATTTGGATCCTCTGTGCGTCAGTGTTCGAAACTACGCCAGCAAGAGCGAGTTATCAAACACTCCGCTCCATTATGAGTTCCTCCAGGGTACCAGATGTTCAATATCACTCAATACTTCAAAGGTGTTCCAAGAGAAGCCTGTTTGAGATCAGCTCCAAGCCAGGAATCTGTTAAGCAGCGATACATTTTTCGGGGCGGTGACCAAAATATCCCAAATACGTCACACAAAAAATAAATTCTCCACTCGAGCCCTAGGAAGTGCTGCATTGAAGAATGTGAAAGGAAAGGACTTTGTACACGTTACTTGGGATGCTGATGCCGACAGATCAACATTTTTTTGTATTATTTGTTTACAGACGCAACAAATGTAACATTAGGTCAAGTCAAAGGGGATAAACACAACAGCTGACCCAGAATCAACACAGAGGAATGCTTCCAACAGAGTGAGTTTGGCCAGTCCCATAAAGCAGCGCAGGCATAAAAAATAAAAAATAAAAAATTCACCTCTTTGCACCTGTGCACTCTCAAACTTCATTAAAATTTACAACGGCTCAGGAGACCAGAGAGGTTTCTATTAATAGCGTCTGCCAGTTGAGCCGTACCTGGATAATGAGAAAGAAACATAAACCTTGTAGTCTCAAAGTGTAATCAAAACTAAAGATCTCTGCACCTTGGCAGTCAATCTTCCTCAAAACTCACACAACCCTCTTCAAGTGAGAGGCGACGACTGTGCTTTCTGACTATTAATGTCAACATACGAGAATCTTCCATCATCTTATTCAGGGATGAACACCATTAAAAACAGACGATACTGTTTTAGCCTCTGTAGCGTCTCATTTCTTTAAATAAAAATCCTTCAATAACGCTTGATTTTACCACCGAAGATATTTCGAAAGAAAACTTAAAAGAAAAATGACTGTCGAAAACATCTGCACCAACACTTCGCCAGAGTGGGGGAAACCCAGGGATAAAGGTCGGCGCACGGCTGGCGTTTCCTGTAACGTGTTGGGGGATTACACTGCCGTCTCATCCAAAATGAAAAGTAATTACTCAAAGCTTGATGACATAACTGCTACGCCACGGGATGCTGGACGGTTACGCAACACCATTAACTCGAAAGCCTTTATGCGGATACGTCTTGACAGATTGTCAGATATTGTCTGCGTATAAAACAAAAGGTATTGTTAAAAATGGACACCGCAGCTGGCCGAGCGTCGACTCAGGAGTTAAATCACTGGCTGTCCTTGCCTGACATTTTGTTTAATATTTAATGAATGCATTAATAGTGTGCAAGAATTGGAATTTCATGTTCATTTCATCAGGAAGGTCCTGCGAGAGCCATTTAAAAAAATAAATTAAAAAAAAGTGGATTTTTTTTATTTAAACAGCCACTCACACCTCTCTCCTTAACTTTGATCCTGAATGTGATTGACTGGGTCACCACCAGAATGGCAAATTATGAGCTGTGAGTTCACAATAAGGTCTAGGACTGTGCTGGAGGATCATTAATACCAATGGGCACAATGCACCTTTCATACCAGGGTCCATAAAGCAGACGCCGTCCTCTAAATCACCTTAAATATCAGCAAGCTCTATTTCGGACGGTCCGAGCGGCGTCCGACGACTGCGGCCGCTCAGTCTTTGCCGAGACGAGAAGATCAAAGGCTCATCAGGGACACGCAGCAGTCGGGAGCGTATCAAATGAAAACTGGCACGTCTCAGTGCAGTCAGAATTGATCTGAGAACACTACGCTTAGTTTCTTTTTTTCCAGAGAAAATATATTCCACTGCGAAGTGACCCAGATAGTCAGAACACATCCTACCAACCCCGAGGCTCAGTAGCTCAAAGTGGAGCCGGAGCCTCTGCATTAAAAAAAAGTAAAAAAAAAAACTTTCACGGAGCCTTTCATCAATGAGACGCTCCTGCGTTAAGGCTTGATGTGGCTAAACGAGTCTTTGATAAATTAAAAAAAAGGATACAGCGGAGATGAAAAAAAAACAAAAAAAAACGCTAATGAACAGCAAGAAGGGTGCGTTTAGACAACCGCTGTTCACCAGGAAGCGCCAACTAATTGGATTAGAAACAAAAGATAGGAGATACTCTGTCAGACTACCGTGTTCTTTTGATGAATCTCTGCTGAACGTACAGCGTGATAAGACGCCCGACTGTCAGGCCCTCCCCGCTTCCTTCCTGAGGTGAGGAGTACAGCCCCCCCCCCCCCCGGAGCTGGCCTTCATCTGCTTAATATCACAACACGTTCATAATCCTGCACTGTGCTCGGTGGCCAATTATCGACGACAACATCTGCTTGCCCAGTGGCTGGCCTCTGCTCCCCGCTGGCACAGCAAACACGATCAACAGTGAGGCATTCGCCGGCGACTGCAGGGACGAGTAAGGTTCAACCCTAAAATCAAAAGCACATATGGGTTTTTTCCCCCCTGTGGAGTATTTATCAATCCAGATTGTTTTGGTGCGAGCTGCCTAGTTTCAGGAGATATCGGCCGTCCTTCCCTCCAATATAACGGAACTACATGGATTGTGATTCTGGGGATAAAGCGTTCCTTTTAAGAAACAGGTCGAAGGTTGAAAGTATTAGTGCGATGACTGAATTAAAGTATGTGTCATAATTATGTGGCAGCAGTTTTCTTATTTGTTCAAATGACGTCATCCTGCTCCAGGCGAGTAAATAAACAGGCTGCCATCTTAGCGTTGACAAACGAAATGAGGACAAATGCACAGCAGCGTGAGCAAGGTTCTGTTTAAAAAAAAACAAAAAAAAAACGACAATAACGCCAATCAACAGGGGGGCTACAGGTCAACCAAAAGTCGATACCGTTTCCTGGATTAAGTAAGCTGAATTTTCTTCCTCTGAACACAGTTTTCATGACATCAAAACGCTCGTTACAAGAGAATTACAAGTGGGGGAAGAGTTACATGGAGCCATCTTTCTTCTTGGAATGAGCAAATAATTGAGATGCTCCTTTCTCCAAATGATCCGTTTCTCCTTTTTGCTCCGTCTTTCGGTCTTGTGAGATTAACATGCCGCGGCCGCCTACTCAAAATCCAATCCACGCCTCCAGCGGTTGTTAGCAATTCATGAATTCAGTGCTGTTCGAACCCCTGAATGGGTCCGATGCTTAGCCAGATGACAACAGGGTGCACCGGACATTCCAGCAGGTGAATCCGCTCCCGTTTGCCAGCACACATTTCCCTCTATTTTACAAAAACTGTAAATATGAAAATAAAATATGCAAATCAATGGAGGTGTTTTTTAAAGACGTACTGTGATCACTGGCTCATAAAAGATACGGTTTCATAACGTTCCCCCTTTAATAGCTTGTTGGTGCGCAAATTCATCCCATGAGCCACTTCCTGTCACTTGAATATGAATGTTGCAGCGTTCCTCTTGTTTGGGGCTTTAAACGGTCGGGTTCACACTTGCTGAAATTGACGTGACAGTGCGTGTGTGTGTGTGTGCGCGGGCGGTGGTACTGGCATCACTTTGGTTAAAAGAACCTGCCTGAGCATTGGAGCTACTTGCAGGACTGCACACGGCCTGCAGCTGGAAAACGACACAGATTCCACTTTACAGGCCGTTCCGGTGGCTCATAATCCAGCATCACGCCGCTATCAAAAAGGATTGAATGGAACAATGGCAGCAAAAGAATAATTTGGAGACAGCAGCATTATGCACACAAAACCAGTGGATAACAAAAGCGATTAGCGCTCTTTTTCCCCCACTCAACTCCACTGTGCATTAACACCATTGTAACGGGAGGGGAAAAAAAAGCCCCTTTGTCACTCAGCTCTTCATTGTTGTCCTTCACCGCAGCAGGGGAGATGCCGTTATCACACGGCATTCATGATTGTTTCATCAAGTGCTCGCTATCTTTGAAAAATACAGTAAAATTGTCAAGCATCGAAAGCTAACAAATAGAATTCGTCAGCACTTGTGTGTCTCACCGAAAATACCACATAGGCCAGAGAGACTGCAGA